GCCTTCGCACCACGGGACACATTTCAATAGCTCCCTTCAAAGTTTTCAAGAGAGGCGGGCAGAAACTGAAATCATTCTACGTTATTAAGTGCCTTACTTAGGGCCCTGCTGGCTGAACATACAAAGACATAAAAAAAAAATGTAGAAATGTTTCCACGTGCCAGCCTCCCCCCATGACCTTCAAAATGACCTCTCTGTGAATGAAAAGGTGCTTCTAGCCAGCATCTGAGATCCCAGTTGGAGCACTCAGGGTTAAGCACCCCGGGTCCTCCCTAAGCAGGTGGGGTCACGGCATCAGTGCTGTTGCTGAGACACGCCCTCCTGTGTAAGGGGGCCTCCCCCTGCCACGGCTGAGCAGGGGTGGGGGGCAAGGGGCCAGGCAGGATGCCATCCCGCCAGAGGAGCCTCCAGGCTGCCACCCGCCCTCGCTCCTCCAAGGAGCGGTGTGATAGGCACTTTGATTTGAAGACATTATCCATCTCAAATGTAATTAAGAAACTTCGACGGGCATGAATATGTAATGGACACGTTGGCTCTGTAGATGCCTTTTTCGCCTGACAGGCTGGTGCTGACTTTAATTTGGAAGAAATCCATTTTCATACAAAGGTAGCCAAGAGTGACAGGATACAGGAAGCCTCCATCATTTATCTTCTCTGAACTTTAAAAAAAAAAAAATCAGTTAATTGCTTTTCTAGGAAGCTATTTTGTGGAATCACGGCACTTCATCTTTCTGCTCTTATCTGGAGCATCTGCAGTGATTCTAAGCCGCCCCTCATGAAAATGCTCTGATTAATCAATACATCTCCAACTATTTAATCACTTAGTTCCACAAATAAAATCTGATCAACTAAAAATGGTGACGGTGTTCCCGGGGATGAATTACCCACTACTAACACTCCTCACACGCGGTCTTACTCATTGATTTTCAAGTTCAGGTGTCTCTTTCCTTATCGACTAAGCTGTAGGCGGCAGCCCCTGGTTTCTTTGCTCCCTTGGCTTTTCAAATGCATTTTATTCCTGGCCAGTGGTGCCCTCTGCAATGGCAGAGTCAACTCATCCCTATCTATCAAATTAAGAGAACACAGCAACTGAAATGTGCGGGTTTTTGGAATCCCGCTGCTGCAGCTGCGACTTGCCAAGCACACCCCTGTGCAGCCAGCAAGGCCCAGGGTTCGCTGCCAAGGCTCTGTGAGGCTTTTCACAGCATCTTCCTGCGTGTGCCTCACCCGGATCACCTAGTATGTAAACAGGTATTTCCATATCCTATCGAGTCTCAGGCTAACACACAGCACTTTTGTGGGTCAAAAATTATTTTGATTACAATTTCTTATTAGTCTACAAAAGACAGACGAAGCTTGAAGCTAACGATACTTATACTCCAGGGCTTCCAAGGGCCCAGGAGGGGCCCTACCCCAGCAACCTGGGAACGCGGTGACATGGTTTGTAAAAACCCCAAGCACAAGGTATTTTCCTGCTCTCTGCCAATTGTAGGTTCCATAAAACCTGTATCTGCCCCTCTAGGTTAACAGTTACCAATGTCTGCAGCAAAACACTTGTGTGTGTGTGTGTGTGTGTGTTGTGTGAAAGAGAGAGAGAAACAAGAAACAAAAACAATTCACTTCCTTTGGAAAGAAAATCGAGGGTGCCTCGCCTAGAACGTTCTAGAATGCTGCTTAGCCCATTTGTTAGGGCCCTTGTCTCTCACACCTTTGAAATGGTGCTGGGGGGGGGGGGGTTCACTTAATGAGGGTGGCTGTGAGAATAAGACTCAGCTATCTCAGCTGTATCAACAAAAATACGCTTTTCCTTAAGCACAAAACCGAGCACAGAGGCAGGTAAACCAGTGCAGGAATCCTCGTGGGGTCTGTGACTTCCACATCAAATTGCACTGGATTCTTCTACGCTAATTACCGATTGCCAGGGACTAAAGAATTCTAAAAAATAACTCACCATGGCAGCCAAGTGCAGATGTTGCAGGGCAAAGAACGAAGGGTACGTGAAGTATAAAACCAGGCAAAAAGGAGTCACAAATTCTTAATTTTTAAAAATAACGTAGATTTATTTTTCTATGGCACAGATGATGAAAGTGAGGGAATTCTCCTGGGGCTGGAAGGCCAATTTTTAAATGCACTTTGGACTGTGAGAGAAATTACAAATTAAAAGCTTAGTGCTGGAGTCTAATTTATTCAATTCATGTAAATTTCCTGGAGGCAGAGGTCACAACTTCATTCTTTTTGCATCTCCTGCTTCCCGCTGCACCTGGTCACTGATCCCACCTTCTTGGGAGAAACGCACCCACACGGCACCAGCAGCTCTGGCACGCACCTCTCTACTGGTTCTGATGTCGCATTTACCCAGTGCCTCCTTTCAGACCTCGCACTGTTTGACATTCGTCACCATCCCCGAAGAGTGGAGCTAAGTACTCCAAGCACCCTGTAGGTCATGTTCTCTGTCCATTTCCCTGTGAGAAGCAACACCGTCCCTGGCTCACTGGACACTAATGACAGTGCTAGCCAAGAGGCATTTTCATACTGGCAGGGCCACCGGCAAGAGTTCATGGAAAATGTACATTATGCAAAGATCAGACATGGATTTGGAAAAATCTTGTACCCAAACAACTATATCCTGTAATTCCATTTCCATGAACTTTATGAAGTCTCCTTGAACACTTGGCATAAATATTTTCGAAACTGTTTTCCACATTGTTTTTTTGTTTACTCCTTTCAAATAATAAAAACTTAGATCCCCTTAAAAATGCAATCTACTAGATAAAATTCTTCAGCATCTATGTTATGACTGTGGATTTTATAGCAACGATCTATAAATACTGAACAGTGTATTGTAAAAGGTTATTTCTTCATCTTCTGGAATAGTATAATTAAAAAAAAATCCTAAGTTTGAAAGATAGGAAAAGTAACTCACACAACACCAGCTGTCTGCTCCACATGAAAGGGTCCCTTTCTGATTGTGATGGTGGGCTGACTGAATAGGCAGATGTTACAAGATCCAAATTCCAATATTGTTCCTAACATGTCAAGCTTTTCCCACTCCCCCCCCCCACCAAGAGCCACACACACACAAATACCAGTTGAAAGTTTCTTCCATAAACATCTCTATTTATCTCTCTTTAAGAATCAATGCGTGACTGTCATCTTTGAAATGCTCAGCATAGCATGGCAGGAGGGGAGTGGGATGGGTGGCTCAGTGTAATTACACGCAGAGGAAGTGAAACACTTCCAGAGAAAAGCTCTCCTCTCTGGCAGTTCCCTCTTTCTGTGATAACCCAACACGAGGACAGCGTGTCATTCCCAATCTCAGGTCCTCAAAGGGAGCCCTGAGAGTGCCCCCGTGATCACCAACACACCCAAGCCTCATGCAAAGGGTACAGTTACTTGCATGCACCTGGACTGGTTCACCAACAAATCCATCGTCTCCTTACAACCAGAGATTTCTCAACTTACTGGGTTACAGACTAAATCAATCAATCGATCAGCACTTAGTAAGTCAGAAGTCTCTTTGCTAGATGGAAAGTTATTTTAACAAGGCACAAACAGGATTAAAGTCACAGAGGGATTCCTAGTGACCGTCCAAGTCAGTGGCCACTGCTGCAGGGGAGCCGTGTCAGCTCTGCCAGGACAAGCAGCGGGCGATGACTCGGGACAAACCACCTCGCGGATTCCATTTTGTAAGACGGTGTCTGCCATGTGTGCTTCCTAACAGTTTCTTGAAAGAGAAGGACCTGCAGAATGACGTTTTGCTCACATTAATTCATAATGAAATCTTCCTCAAATCCATCATGAATGCATTGGCATGGTCTCCCCTGCACCCTGTGTGCACATCTCACAGAGGAAGACCCTACCTTCTCTAAGGGGGAGCATCCTGGTCTCCCAAGCCGGTCCACGGGGCTCTCTGAGATGACAACTCAGCAGTTTACCCTCAGCCTTGCCAGGAGAGCAACAGGAAGTGTCAAACCATTTACTTCTCTTGGTTATTAAATCAAATTACCATACAATGATTACTCTGGTTCTATTGTTACTCCATCTTTAAAGAATATGTCAAAAATGGAAAATCTGAAAAAAAAACACAACCTTGAACAGTTGCTAAGTTTGACATTCTAGAACACACGGGATTTCAGTGAGGGTCACACCACGGCAGGACAGCAGCACAGGGCCCAGTCTTCTTGGTAACTGTCCTCAATCGGGAATAAGCTGTGAGATGCACGTCTCCAAAACAAAGTTTCACTTTCCATCCGGGTTTACCATTCAATCAACTAGCCTCTGCCTCTTTGTCACCTCTGTGATAACACAATTTCCTCATTTGAGACTCTAATATTCAATACATCCACTCTACACATTCTGCAACTCAGCAAATACTTCAAAGTCAACACGTAAGCCAGGAAAAATACGAACCAAAATATTTCATTCTGTTCCTAAGGCCTGAGACCATTTTTATAGGTCAAGAATAGTTCAATACGAATGGGGAATTTAATACACTTGAATATCCACCACAGTCGATACTGAATCATTTAAATAAGTATTTAAAAAACACTATGAGGTTTCCTTTGTATTGTGTCTTAGAACATTTCAAAACACATGAAAATGTTTTAAAGGTTTCTAAACTCTATTACATAAAAATTAACCTCTTCATATATTAAGAATTATAGTCTTTGAAATGTTTGTTGTTTCTAATATGTAGCATCAGAATCAACATCAGCTTGTTCGCAGAACAATCCTCTAAACTAAACTGAGAAGGCATTTCCCTCCCTGACTCACACAGATACACACACACACCCACCTGCACCTGCTGGTACCTTTCAAATGATAATACATTTGAGATTTTAAGATCATCATTATTGATGTTTACCTCCCCACTTACAGATTATAAATCATACAAATTTATTCATATCACCAAAAAAAGAAACACGGAGACTGAATTATACATCCCTTCAGACATTCCGTTAGGACTTCCCAGTCGCGTAGGTGGTATGGAGCGAGACTCACCTCTGCTTGCTTGGGGATGCTGAACTTGGAAAGCTTGGCCTTGGCTCTGGCCGACTCTGGCTTGGTGGCGGGGACTCCCCTGTACGATGTGCAGTGCACGCCGGTTTCCGTAGAGGACTTAAGCTTGGGAGACTCATCAGGAGCCTGATCTTGGCCGTCCATTGGGCGCACATACGCGGTCGGTTTCTGCTGCAGCAGGCTAGGCTTCGAAGCCAGAGACGAGGGAAAGTTCTGAACGCAGTGGCCGCCACTGCTGTGCTTGGTGGCCATAGCGGGCGGCCTCTCCTGGGTCTGAAGCCCCACCTCGACATTGCACACTTGTTTGGTCCGTGGCTGCTGTCTGCCAACGCCATCTCCAAGCAGTGTCCTGAGAGAGCCCTGTTGTGCTGAGATGGAAGAAGGAGAGGAAGAAAAAGAAGATGAGGATGAGGGATGGGCATACAGGGATTAGGACTTATCGTGGTTCTGAGGGTTGGTGCAGAGCGAGCGACCTGTGCCGGGGCTTACTTGTCCTCTGATGGCCGTCGGGCGGTGGCGGGTGCCCCGTCTTCTGCCAGCCCATGGTGCTCCTCTTACTCTGTGGCACAGGCACAGCCGCTGGTGTGGCAGAGGTGGTGCTGCAGACCGATGAGGGCTGGGTCTGGGCTCTTGAGTCGGCAACAAAATGCTCATGGATCTTGTTCACGGGGGTCTGCGGAACCCCGGGTTTGGGGACGCCAACAAGATGACTCTGGTTGGAGCGATCAGTTAAAAAATCTTTCATCTCGTCATAATTGCCTAAAGTATTCTGGATCCGGTTGGAGAGCTCATCCCCCTTGTTAGTCTGCAGAGCGAAAAAATACACATCCACATTCTTGTTAGAGACTACAGAAACACAGGAAGTGACGGACAGGTGCACTTACTGATCACGGAGCCGGGGCTGCCCCCGTCACAACGAGACATCAAACCTCTCATTACCCCTGCAGACACGCCCGTATTCTGTCAGCATCACCAGAACTGGAGGCCTGTAACAGCCCTAGCGCACCTAAAACGGGAACCGAGGCTTGCTGTTGTGTGAGAGCTAAAACGCATGACGTGGAAATCGGAAAATGTACCACTGCACCTTCACAAAGTGGTCTGGTGTTGGTCTTTCCAGGATAGGATTCTCTCTTCTATTTTGTAGCTCCATTGGAAGCTTTTCTTGAGAATTCCGATTTGACCCGGATTGATCTGCTTCCAGTTTCTAAATGTATGGTTACTTTTGCCAAAATCGCAGAGTGAAAGGGTGAAACTCAAAAGGAACGTGGGGCTACATGTGTGAGAACTGACTGGCCTGAATTGGCTAGAGCTCTATGTAGCTGAAGATACCAGGGTACTTGAAAAAATTCATAGAAAATATAGAATTAAAAGACAAGCTTGTTTCTGTGCAAACAGATTTTGAGATCTATGCATAGTTTTTTCCTAAGACTCATTTTTCTCCAAACTTTTTGAAGACTCCTCATATGGATGGCTTTCAAATTTTCTTTCTACCAAAATAAACTTAACTTTTAATTCCATTTGCATGAACTTTTTGAAATACCTGCATATGAGCCGAATCTGGGAAGGTGATTTTGGACGAGAGGTTATATTTCTGTTCTGTGGTATAAAGTAGAAATAATCTGTGTTTTTTTTTTTTTTTTCCTCATTGGCCCCAACAGGCACCCTAATCCTAGCAATGGCCCATGCCAAGAACAATATCTAACTCCTTTTTAACAAGGTCCATTTCTTGATAACTTAGAAAGCATAACCAATGGCATTGACTTTGAAATATCAATGGAGAAATGAAGCCTGTGTCACTGATAAAAGTCACAGCAAGCAGATCTCAGAATGAAACAAAAGTTACATTTGACTCAGGGAGTAAGCCGGCAGAGAACCTTCTAACTCAGACGTCAACCTTTGCGGGCAAGTTCCATTCTCAGCACCTGAGCCAGCGCCAGCTCCCCCAGCTGAAGCGGCAGTAAAGTCAATGAGGTTGGGCCGGTCAACCATTCTAACTGTGGCTGTCGCTGCAGGGGCTTAGGGGTACAATCAAGGGAGGGGAGATGAACTACTGAAAGCGTCTACCTTGTAGGGCTCACTGAACAGAGAGTAACTGGACGCGAACGTGCTGACATCCTGCTGCGTCTCCTGGTTTCTTCTCTCCCGTTCTTTCCTCCGTAGGGCATTTCTATCAGGTTCATACACGCTGCAGCAGGAGAGAGGACAAACAACAACCGGGTTCGAAAACATTCAAGGGCCAAACCCAACGTCACATTGGTCCCAGTGCAGCAGTCTGGCCTGCGGATGGCAGTGATGACAGCGCGAGCGCGGGTCAGACTGAAGTCAGTGTGGCCCGGCTGTATGTGAGCTCGGGTGTCTGATAACTACTCCCTTCAGCAGGGCAGGCTGAGGGGGATAAGACATCCTTAGGGCAAGTTTCAGCCAGGGCCCGATACATGAAAGAGGAGCCACTGAACCATCTTTGATGGGGGACGACGTAAAGTAATCCTATAGCACAAAGTATTTACAGTGCTGTGCAATTAGAAATGATGAGCATATTTCCTTGTAAGAGAACACGGCCTCTGAGCACTACACGGGAAGGCTCCTATTTGGGGTTTTTTGTTTTGTTTTTGCATGGCTGTGCTCTGTAGTGATTCTTTCATTAACCAGCTCCCCAAAGAGCTGTTAAACCTCCATGCTGCAGCGGTTCTCACAGTTACAAGCCTCCTTCTGATCTCTGTTAATCCGCCGAGTCGTCCAGCCACCACGGAATCCTTCTGACCCGATGACCCCTCCTAACCATGAAGACATGCGCCAGAAGGAAGAGGGGTGGGCGACAGGGAGACAGAGCAGAAACTGAGTGTCACCGAAGAAGTTGACCTTTTTGTTGAGCAAAATTAACCTCTCTCCTCCCAAAACGTAATTATGAAGCAGGCAGGTGCCAGACAACAGTAGGAGCCGAGGGAGGACGGAAGTGCTGCTTCCCCCTAACAAGGGCGAGATGGAGGGGCGCACTCAACCAGGGCTCAGGAAGGGACCTGCTCACTGAACGGAGGGAGTGCACCTGCACATGGAGCTCACAGGTGGTCTCAGTGCGCACTGCAGAGCTCACACTGCTGATCAGGAAGAACGGCCACCTCCCTCCCCATCAGCACCCTATTCCTTTCCCAACAGAAGTAGTCGGTGCCCACGACTTCACCAGCATTTCCTAGCAGCTCCCATGATTGGTCTGCGGGGCCCAGGCTGGGGAGCCAAGTCACCCACCTACCAGCTACCAGGCCGAGACACAGGGAGAAGCCACTCCCCCGCCCTCCACCCCTGGGTCTTCACTGTCAGGCAGGGCCATCTCATGGCATGGGTGTGGCACAAGGGTCAAACATGAATGTAACCTATACGAGGGCTTGGGCACAGCTTTAGGCACCACAAATCCCCAATGCCACACCATTAGAATACGGTTAGTAATAAAAGGATATGTGGGCTTAAAGTATTTTATGAAAACAGTGCTGTTTAGTTTAAAAAGCTAAACAGGTATCAAAGAAAGATGCAGCTGCAGGGCACACAAATAAAATAATCATAAAATAAATATTCCTATCCTGGTCGGTCTGTGCAGCCAGAATCTATTTGAAATTCTCTAAGAGGGGATGCTAACCATGCTTCTGGCAAGGCTGCTACAGCACCTACAGCATTTAATTTAAATTTAAAATTAGGGAATGTTAAAATATCCAGAACATGGAGACTATTAGCATTTTAATGCATCCTTAGTACATTACCCAAAGTTATTAGGCTTGGGAGTGTAACCAGTGACCTTCATATCATGGGAGGCTACTGCCTCCGGAACCTCCCACCAGCTCAGGGGCTCCCAGCTTCAACATCACAGTCACAGATCTCTGTACAGTGGCTGAGTGACAGTGACCGGCATGGCGAGGCTTGTGATGGAAGTGGCCCTACTCACAGAGCCAGGCCTTTACTGTAGAGGAGAGGACACGGGTGGCCCCCTGTACACAGACACCTGCAGGTCGCACAAACATTCCATGGGCCACAAACGGAGATTGTTCTGACGCATGCAAGGACCGGGCTTTCACCCACAGGAGAATTCTAGTTTACCGTGAACTTCTAACTTTTGAACCAAACATGGCACGGGTGGCTTAACAGAAACCAAGTTTGCATTGCATGCACTACACAGTTGCCCTCCTGTGGCATGCGCCACATCTGTGAAGCACCAGCGATGCCAAATTTCACAGAGAGACTTCTGCACGAACACACACGCTGCACTCGGGCAGGCCAAGCCAACCGCACACACAAGACAGGTGCGACACAGAGTGGCCTGCTGTGGGATGCAGCAGGACGGCGGTCACTCCGGATGACTGCTGTGCTTCTGAGGAGTGCCCCGTGCTCCAAACAGTACCTCCTGCATCTGCTGGCCGAGGACTGGAATTCCACAACTAGAGAGTCACTCCTCTGGTTTAAGATGTCTTCGCCCCTGCAAGAAACAACACCACAAGAAGGGAAAACACTTTCAGCCTGGTCAGCCTTTTTATGTGCTTGAGTATTTTAACATTTTTCCCACAAAGGGAAGAAGTCCAAGAATACCAGGGGTCCAAACAGGAGGCATGGTAAAAAAGGATGAGGCGACGGCTAGAGTGTAGCCATGAAATGTTATAAACTCCTCTTACTTTGCAACATGGCTTGGATACGTAAGACAAGGTGACCGGATACGGGATAACAGGCACACTCAGCAGGGCAGATTATCAGATTCAATACATCTTCCAGGGCCTGGCAGTAAGGACTGTATTACAACTTGGAGAAGCTGGAGGTGAGTGGGAAGCTGCTCCTCTTTATACTTTCCCAGTTCCGTTAAGCTAGAAGATACCCAGCCTACCAAGACGCGGGTTAGAACTGGATAAAAATTTCTGTTGAGGTCTTGCCTGCCTTAACCAGCCCGTGGCTTCTAACACTAAGAAGGATTAAACACTCAGGAGCACGTGCACACGATCTGCTACGAGAAAGGCGCTGGCCGTCTGCCCACAGAGCCTCCATGATGCTTGTGGCATGCCTTTCCACACCGGCACATAAAACCAGAATGCCCCGGCGACAATCATCCCCACATCTCCAAAGAGGACTAAGGGAAAAATAGCCAGAGACGCGATGCTCCCTCAAAGGCGTCTTTTGAGTTTCTCTCCTCCATCATTGTAGGCGGCTCTGCCGCCTCTCTTGAGCACGGAGCCCCTCCTAAAGTAACCCACCCCCTCCCCCTCCTTAACTCGATGTGCAGCCCCCACATGCCACTCCACAGCTAGGGAGCTAAAATATCACCTGCTCAGAGCAAATGTGACTGGAAGACCAAGTCTGGACTGCCCACTCTCATCTTTCCCTACGCCTCAGAACTTGAACCTTTCCATCAGCGCTCAATGTTTGGAGGCACAGAGACAGCAGCTTCTCCACAGGGAGTCCACTGTGCCCCTAATTACGGGTGAAATTGGTGCAGGTACTCGCAAGCCTACAGAGCAACTCTCTCTTCACCTTTCGCCATGAAAGCTCCGCTCTCTTCGTTCCTCTGCACGTGGAGCAACGTGAAGACCATGCCACCTGCTTCAGAAGGAAAGAGGCCTTTCCCCTAACATGCTCAAAGTCAGGTCAGCTTCCCTGGGGACAGCCGACTACGTTTTAGAGAATACGGATGCCTAGCACGCCGATACAGACATTACACTCAGCAAGCACTGTGTGTTACGGGCTGTTTCTTTGTTACCAGCAGATGGTAAAATCTCTATCATCTGTAAAGTTGTGCCTTATTTCTGTAAAAATGACAGGAATTGCATTTCTCGAATGTATGTCACCAAATGTATTTATTTATTTTGCATGAAAGTGCAAGGCAGCCAACTGCCACATTATTATTTATTGCAGATGCATAACATTTCCAGAAAATGAGTCTTTTTAATTAACTCCTTAAGAGATGTATTTATTTGCACAACTAAAAGAAAACATTTCTGATCAGCTCCCAAGAATTTATGTGTAATCTATAATTTGAGATACCTTGTAAATAAAAAGCTCAGGCCAAAGCCAGTCGTGGTGGGTGAGTAGGAAAATGAGAGATCTTCCTCCAAAAATCCTTGGAAACTAGAATTAAAAGTTAGTTCTGTTGAAATCCATGCACATAGGGGATCTTCCTAAAGCTCTGGGAACGTGTGTACTAAGAAAAACTCATGAATTTCAAACATTTTCTGCACTCAAATTTTTTATTCCATTTTCCACGGACTTTCTGAAGTACCTTCCTAGATGGCTTAATATCTAATATCATCATTTCCAAAATGAGTCTATTTACATGCTATCAGCATGAAAACTAAGCAGCGGCGAGGCCTGGGGCGGGTGTTTGGGCTAACAGTTAAGACGCTGCTCGGTGCACCGCATTCCACACGGGAGTGCCCAAGTCCCAGCCTCACTTCACTTCGAGTCTGATTCCAGCCTCCTGCCACTACACCCTGGAAGGCAGCAGGTGACGGCCCAAGCGGGTTAGTCACGCACATGGGAGACCTGGATTGTGCTCCAGGCTTCCAGGGATTTGGGGAGGGAACCAGCTGTGTGTGTGTGTGTGTGTGTGTGTGTCTTTCTACCTCTCAAATAAACAAATACTGATGATACTGTAAGCCTCACAGCTTCTCCTTTTCAGCGAACTCCAAACATTTCACCAATATATCCCTTCAGTAGCCTTACCATATTGCCTGGAGAAAGACAGGTATGGTGGCTATTACAAAAGATACATCAAAAAATTCATGGAAAACAAACTTAGAAGATAAAAATATTTTGGCGCAAAACATTTTGAAATCCATTTATACAAGGTGTTTTCAAGAAGTTCATGGAATCCTGTGTTACAGAAAACCTATGAGTGGATTTCAAGAATCTTTGTACCACAAATATATATATATATATATGTATGTATGTATATTGCTTTGACAGGCAGAGTTAGACAGTAATAGAGAAAGACAGAAAGGTCTTCCTTTCCGTTGGTTCACCCCCAAATGGCCGCTACGGCTGGCGCTGCGCTGATCTAAAGCCAGGAGTCAGGTGCTTCCTTCTGGTCTCCCATGCAGGTGCAGGGCCCAAGCACTGGGGCCATCCTCCACTGCCTTCCCGGGCTACAGCAGAGAGCTGGACTGGAAGAGGAGCAACCGGGACAGAATCCGGCACCCCAACTGGGACTAGAACCCGGTGTGCCGGCACCGCAGGCGGAGGATTAGCCTAGTGAGCCTCACCTTTAATTCCATTTTCCATAAACTTTCAAAAAAAAATTTGGCTTTGAGAGGCAGTTATATAGAGGGGAGAGAGAGATTTCACCCATCTGCTAGTTTACTCCCCAAATGCCTGTGATGTTTGGGGCTGGGCTGGAGGTGACCCCAGGATGGACCCAATGTCTTGAGCCGTCATTGCTGCCCTCAGGACCTGTCTTAGCAGGAGGCTGGAGTCCAGAGCTGCAGCTGGGAACCACCCAGAAGCTCGAATATGGCTGAGGGCATCTTTACCCCAGGCTAAATGCCTACTCCCCTGGACTTCTTGAAGATCAAGGAACTTGGGATAAAAATCCGTTCATCAAACAGTGTCATAAAGAAGACATCTTGGAGAAGAAACAGCCACACCCAAAGCACTTTACTCACATCTACCCGGGGGAAAAGAACTGTCCACAAGCCAAGAGGTGACCAGGGATCCTAACATTGATGTCTACAAGCCCAGTATTAATAAATAATCAGCCCAAGCCCCACAGAAACCCAACAGGACACACAGAAGCCATTTCCCATTCAGAGAGAACCTTAGGGAGAACCCTGGAATAAATCTCAGCTGTAATAATGTTTCACAGATCCCAAACAAGCAAACATCAGTTTCATTCAACAAAACCCACACAGAGCACAACCATACACCTGTGTCTCCCAGGATCACGCACTAGAATATGAGTGAGCAAGGGAGGACATTGTAAATTCTAAAGCCATGGCTGATGGCATCACCATTTGCATCAAACGCAGTCTGTTCAGCAGTCTACTCCACTCACCCGCCAGGCTGCCCAGCTGCAGGAAAAGGTGCTAAAGCGACCATGCTCTGCCCCTCCAGCTGAGCCCCGGCCTGACCCAGCAGACCCAGCGGGCCAGGAGGCATGGCTTCCCTCCCTCCTGTCCTCTCCTGCTGCCTGCTGACATCTGAGGCCCACGCCAAACAAGCTGCATTTCAGCCAAGAGGATTCAAAGCCAGTTTCACTCGGTCAGAATAACCAGTGTTTTCTTCTTAAAATATTTTCCAAAATAATCCTACCTACCAGCGTGTGTCTCTAGGGCTGGGGTCTAAGAAATTCTAAATTCTAAAGTGAATTCAAAGGGAAGAGGATGAACAGCCAAGCTTTTGGAGAAAGTTCTCGCGACTTTCACGTTTTACAAATATTGTCCTTTTCAAACAAGAAAAACACAACTCCATTTAGGCCAAAAGCATTTCCAGAATGCTACTGTGTCCAGATGCTGGGGAGACAAGCAGGGCCATGACCGGCCTACCTTGCTGCTGAGAAGTGAACGGTCTGGGGAGAAGACAGAAAGGAGAAGGGGACTGTTGGTGAGCAACTGGGCACCAGGTGGCCAGGGCGCCGGCGGCAGGAGCACAGGGAATGCGGGCTGCCTCTGCAGGAGATCCGATTTGAGCTGGGTCTGCAGCAAAGGGACAGTGAGAACAGGGGAGGGAAGAAGAGGAGCCGAAAGCTACAAGACACTAGATCATGAGACCACGCCCAGCAAGGGAGGAGGTGGCCCGCATCATCATTTATCACACCACCTCGCTTCTTCAACAAGCCAAGGTCCTACATTTAAAGCTTTACTTCCTGGCCGGCCCCGCGACTCACTAGGCTAATCCTCCGCCCTGCAGGGCTGGCACACCGGGTTCTAGTCCTGGTTGCCCCTCTTCCAGGCCAGCTCTCTGCTGTGGCCAGGGAGTGCAGTGGAGGATGGCCCAAGTGCTTGGGCCCTGCACCCCATGGGAGACCAGGAGAAGTACCTGGCTCCTGCCATCGGATCAGCGCGGTGCGCCGGCCGCAGTGCGCCAGCCGTGGCGGCCATTGGAGGGTGAACCAACGGCAAAGGAAGACCTTTCTCTCTGTCTCTCTCTCTCACTGTCCACTCTGCCTGTCAAAAAAAAAAAAATTAAAAAAAAAAATAAAGCTTTACTTCCTGGTGTTTCCCACTGCTAACTTGTCACTGCTACCTCACCCTAAATAGGCTCATCCAATTCCTTCCCAAAAGCAGATCAGGTTTCGAGTGAATGAGTGCAGCGTGGATGTAGGGAATCTCTCTCCCCTTCGTTCAGGTTTGCATCAGAGATGGTCCCGAGTAGCCTGGCCACAGAGAAAATGATTTTTCAGACAATTCCAGTCTTGGGACGTCATGCTATCATGCCCCCAGGCACACCCTGAGGGCACAGCAGAAGACAAGCAAGGCAAGGGGTGGAGGGGGAAGAACT